TGAAGCGGTGGCGGAGCTGGTGTGCCGGGAGCTGGAGCACTTGCAGGATTACTGCCAGCCACATGCACCAGGTGAGGTGTCACCAGCCACACAAACCAGCGCCATATCTTTGATGTTCACCCTGGGTGTCCTGAACCCATAGTGCCAGATTGGCCCTTTTTGGGAGATGAGGGGATGAGGGAGCAGGCATCAGCTTTTCTTTCTCTTTTTGTTTTCAGGAGCCCTGCTCAAAGCTGCCTTCATCTGCACCCAAGTTGTGCAGTTCCCCTCGCAGAAACCCTTGCGGGCCCAGCTGATGGAGAGCTTCGGGGGGGGGTTTGAGGTGCACACCTGGTCCAAGCTGCCACATGGGTCTGGCCTCGGTAAGTCTGCAGGGACAGGAGCTGGCAGCTCCTGCTGCCAGCACTGTGATGGAGCATCTCCCTTGCTGCTCCCCAGCTCTCACTGGCATGGGCCCTGCCCGTGCTCCCTGCAGGCACCAGCAGCATCCTGGCGGGAGCGGTGATGGCGTCGCTGTACCGGGCAGCCGGGAAGGCTGCCAGCACTGAGTCCCTCATCCATGACGTGCTGCATCTGGAGCAGAGGCTCACCACAGGTAGGGACCAGGGGGAGCTGTCAGCCCGTGGGGTGGGAGCTTGGTAGTGGCTGAGGCCTCTCTACCCTTCCAGGCGGCGGTTGGCAGGACCAGGTTGGTGGGCTCATGCCGGGCATCAAAATTGGGAGGTCAAAAGCTCAGCTGCCAGTCAGGGTGGAGGTGGAGGAGATCGAGGTGCCCGATGGCTTTACCCAGACCCTGAATGATCACTTGCTGCTGGTTTACACAGGGAAGACTCGCCTGGCTCGCAACCTGCTCCAGGTAACATCAGGGTGCCCCTGGGTGTTGCGGGCTCTGGCCTCTGCTCCCCCTGTGGGCTCTGGTGCCTGTCCCCTTCTCTGGTGCCAAGCTTTGCCACCCCAATGGGAGCTGGAACTGAAGGCTGCAGGTGTAGCTCTGCCTTCCTGGGTGCTGCTGGAGCCAGGAGGATGGTAACAGGGACATTCTGGCCTGTTGCAGGACGTGGTCAGGAACTGGTATGCGAGGCTGCCCTCCGCCGTGCAAAATGCTGATGCGCTGGTGAGCAACGCTGAGGAGTGTGCCCAGGCCTTGAGGCAAGGTGTGAGCCCCCTTTCCTGGGCCAGGCTGGCCCTTCTAACAGCTGAAGGAATACAAAGTTCCCTGGGGAGAGTATGTGCACTCCTGGGGGGACAAAATTCCTCCCTCAGGCCCACCCTCATATTACAGGCAACGTCCCAAAATTCAGGCTTGAACAAAGACTTTGAGGAAGGGGGAGTGAGACACATCGAGGCTGGCTGGTGTTCTGCATTCATGGTGGTGCTGTGGACCATGGCTGGCCTGTGTTGTGGAGTCATTTGGCCTTTGGCTGCTGGGATACTGTGGAGAAGAAGCTGGAGCATTAAAACAAGCAAATTCTCCCCCTGTGGAGGATTAGAAATAAATAGCAATGTGACAGGGCGAGGTTTGCTTGCTCAAGAGGCAGGGCTGAGAGGAACAGGGTAGATGAGAAGGCAGAACTTAGCTTGGGCTGAGGAGGAGAGGCAGAGACCTGCGCCTTGGGTGAGAAACAGAGGCAAATAATTTGCATTATCCTCTCTCCTGCAGGTAACCTGCCACTTATTGGGAAGTGTCTGGACTGCTACTGGCAACAGAAGAAATGCATGGCCCCTGGGTGTGAGCCGCTGGCTGTTGGGCACATGATGGATGTTCTCCAGCCCTACGTTTATGGACAGTGCTTGGCTGGGGCTGGTGGTGGTGGCTTCCTTTACGTCTTAACCAGAGCCCCGCAGCAGAAAGAGGCCTTGCACCAAATTCTAGCCAAGATCGAGGTGAGATGTGAGCTCCTAGGCAGTTCAGTGGTGCTGTTGAATGAGATGGGGCAGTGGGATGAGACTGCTTGTTGTCCCCTTAGCTCCTCCCAGGCTGTGCAGGTGAGGGCAGGTCCCTTGCTGGCTCCTGCCCTAACCTGCATCCCTGTTTTTTATTTTCTAGGGGCTGGACAACTTCAGCATCCACAGCGTCGAAGTGGACACAGGTGGTTTCTCTGTGGAGGTTGTGGGATGTGATACAGAAGATGGTGCTTGCCCCAAGGAGGATGTGGCTGGGTGAATATGAATGCCTTTGCTCTGACCTGTTCCTGGCAGGCAGGCAGGGCAGGGGCGGCAGTAGCCAGCTGCCTTCCAAAGAAGGGACATCCCTGCTGTTTTAGAGGCTGCTTCTTCAGCTGCCTCCAGTAGGTGCCTTAGGTCTTGATGCGGCCTTTTTGTGCTGCTAGTTGCCCCAAAAGCCACAAAGGCTGAAAAAGCTGTCACAAGAGGCACAGGCAAAACCATCCCTGGAGGGTGGCTTAGCCAGAAAGACAGCTTGTTAGGGCCTCTAGGCTGATTTTGGGTGTTTCACTCCAGCTTTCATAGCTCTCCAAAGGGAAGAGAATGGGCAGTTGTGATGCTGCCTCTAGCAGGGACCTTCCTGCTCTTCCTGCAGCAGGGACTGCCTAATTGGCACTCAAGAATGCGCCTGGATGTGGAATCAAGTCCTGCCCATGCTTGGAGACTGTTTCTGCAGGGAGTTACTTATTCCTGCAGGCTTTTTGAATAAAGAAGCTTGTTCCAGGCAGGTGTTCATTGCCACTCTGTCCCCAGCAGAGCTACTCCCTCCCCACGGGCTCTCAGGGGCGCAGCACTGCGCAAGCAAAGCTCTCCTGGGGTAGGTACAGCAGGTTCTGGTCATTGGCCTCCACAGCCCTGGCGGTCAGAGGCCAGGAGTGCTGCCAGAGGAGGCAGCCAGGCCTGGGGTGTTTATACTTGTGCAATGCCAATGCCAGCTGGGGCCAGGCAGAAAGATCCTCTTGATGCCATAGAACAGAGTGGAAGGGGAGAAATGGTGCCCAGCTCTTGTCCTGCACCTCACCACCTCCCTCCAGGCCCACGGACACACACACACACCACCTGAGGTTGCTGCTCAGCCAGGTAAGGTTTATTTACAGAGTAGCTGTACAGGGCGCAGCAAGTCAGCACAGACACAGCCCTGCTTCCTGCAGTGGCTTTCTAGGGATTTTCTGAGCACCCTCCCCCTAAGGAAATCATTCCAGAACGGTCTCCATCACCAGCAGGCCAGAGCCAGGGCTTAAGATATGCAGGACTCCAGTAGCTGACCCTTAAACTGGTGGCACAGAAGGAACCCAGCTGTGGCCGGTAGCACAGGCAGAGCACTCTCTGCAGCCCCAAGTCTGAACCACTCCACAACAGCCCCAGATTCCCTGACCTGGGTCCTCCCACAGGGCAGCAGAAAGGAGTTGGGAGCTGGCACAAGCTGGTCCTTCCAACTAGTTCATGTCTTGAGAAATAGCATCACACTGCTTTCCACGTGAGAGATTGCTGCCTTGTTTCTGCTCCCACAAAAGGATGGTGGCTTTTCTTCCCCAGCCCAAGAAAGCCCTTTGCTCCAAGGAACATGAGCAGAAGGGCAGACAGCACTCCATCCCCACACTGTCCATCAGCTAGGCTGCATCCTTCCTGCTGTTATCCCCTGCCCAGCTACAGGCGCAGGCGCTTGATGTCCTCGCTGCGGAAGTCGATCCGGAGAGCCAGCACCTGCCGGACCTCAGCAGGAGTGAGGCGCCAGGTCAGTGGGCCTGAGTTTGGACCCCAGTAATCCAGGATCTCCGTCACCTGGAGAGGAGAGAGGAGAGCTACAGGAGCCACCTTGGCACTGACCGCCCTCACAGGTGAGTTCAAATACAGTCACCTTATTTCCTGCCACTAACAAACACTCATCAGGCATGGGGCAACTTCTCCATACCCTACAGATGTGACAATGTCAGGATGAGCCCAGTAAATCCATGTGGAATCCAGCCAGGGTTCCCACAATCCCTCAGTAAAAGCAGGCAAAGCACAGCTCACCCTTTCCAGGTTGAGGATGGTGGCCATCTGGGAAAGCCGGGCAAACTTGTCACGGATAGTCCAGGTGGTGACTGTGGTGAGATAGGCTACGAGGGACCTCAGTTCCTTGTCAAACTGCAGACCACCGAGCTGTGGGGCAAGGTAGCACTGTTAACTCTGCAAACAGGCCCAGGGGTTGTGCCAAATACACAACTAACAGAAGTACCAGGGCAAGAGGGGGAGGTCTCTGAGCAGGAGAGCTCCAGTTAGACCATTTATTGCTGATTAAATCTGCTTATGTTTAGGCCCACCTTAAAAGCCAGCCCCCTTTTTGATGCAAGCTCTTCCCAGCCCCATCACAACATTTTTTCTCCCTATGCGCACTAATACAAGCTCTGCCTGAGCTGGCTACCACTGGTGGCAGAGCTTCGGAGGGTAACATTTGCCTCTGCCCTGCACCATCCCTTCACTGAAGGTTTATGTCCTAGCAAAGGGTTTGCAGTCAAGCCAGACTACAGGGTAGAGGAGAGTTTTGCTTACCCTGCTGAAGGTCGATTTGAGCAGCACTTTCTCCAGTTCAATGGCTATGAGACTGGTCATAAGACCAGTGAGGGTGTCATAAATCACTGGAGACAGTCCAGCCTGGAAGCAGAAACCTGTGTCAGTGTTGTGAGCAGAGATCCACAAAAGCCAAGCCTAAGAGAGTTTTCACATAAAGACTCATCACTTGCACACTCAGCAAGTGGGGGGATCCAGGGACACGGGGCTTGCAAGGAAGCCTTGAGAACTGCAGGGGGAGGGAGTAACTGGGTCTCTAAGAGACCTGCAGGGCACTGCAGGACATCTGTGTCCATCCTTCCCCTGTGCAAGGGAAGAAGTGGGAGATGCCAAAGCCTGGCAGGCTGCCTCGTCTCTCTCACCTTGAACTCTGTCATCTGCTGTTCCAGATTGAGGATGAACTGCTGGACCCAGGGATCATTAGCCTCATAGTCACTGAACTCCTCCTGACAGTGAAATACAGAAAGGGTTGTTTATGTTCAGGCTTGCCCTGAACAGCAGCAAACAGCCCATGGGACAGGAAGGGAGGTGCCTCCTGGAGCAGCACTCTAGCCCTTCTGTTTTCTCAAACTCCTCTCTAGCCAAATGCCCCTTTTCAGGCTTGCATGAAGAACAAGTTGTGGGTATTTTACTGTTGCTCTGTGCTGAGGAAAGAGCAGAGAACTGACAGGAATGAGACAGTGTTTGCTCTGACTGTGCTGCCAAGCAGAGGATGCAGAGTGCAGAAGCACAGCTGGAAGCAGAGAACGTTGAGCCTTACCTCCTCAATGTTGTGGGAGACGGAGAGGAACAGGTTGATCCAGGGCTTCACCTGGGGCTTGATGGCTGTGCTGTTCAGCTCACTGAGACCTTCCTGAGAGCGACAGGAAGAAGAGAGGAGTGACAGAGCACAGCTAACAGCTGACTGAGCACAGCAGCACACAACCTTTATAGTCACACTGTCTTGATGCTGCCTCCAATCCCTATTGCAAGCTGGGAAAACTGACTCACAGGCTTGCATGGGCAACTGAGCACAGAAGCCCCTAATCCCAAACTCTTCTGGTGCTGAAGGGCTCTAAGGACACAACAAGAAGAAGAGAAAGGACACTGGCCCAGAAGCTGCCATTGTGCTTACTTGCAGCCTTGTCTGAAGGGCTCATGCTTCCCCCACCCCTTTTCACAGGGCTACAGAGGTTTCCTGGCAGGAAAGAGGCATCTGGTTCACATCCCTCCAGGGAGGAAAGGACACAAACACCAGATTTACACTTGGCATCAGCCAGGAGGCCACTGTGATTGGGCTTGACTGATGCCTCCCACGTCCAGTGCAGCTTAGCTCAGTAGGAGAAGCTAAAAGGAGGATAAAAGCTGTAACCACAGCTAGTTCCCTGAATTAATCATAACCCCAGCTCACACCATCTCCCCTGAGCAGCAGGTTGTCAACAAAGGCTGTTCTGTCTGCTCTGGTGCTAAAGAGTTCTCTGAAAGCTCCCTTCTGCCGACCACCCTCATTTGGCTCAGCAAGATGTCAAAAAAGCTCACCCAGCATGAAACTATTCAGGTACTTATACTGCCTGGTGTTTGATGGAAGTTTTAAACTGAAACTGGCATTTCTGAGCAAGCCCTGCTGGCAATTGTCTCTTTTCCAAGGCAAATTCAATGTGTGTGTGACATGGGCAGCGCAGAAGCTTGCTGCTCAGCCTCTTGATTGCTTTGAAGCCAGTTTTAATACTGCACTAGAGCTAGACTGGAGTTTTACTCCTTACTGATGAGCTCTTTTGTTTCCATATGGACCACGAGCCTCAAGACGGTTTGCTGGCAATATTGGTCTGAAGACATCTGGCTGAAGTGAACTGCAAAACCAAATGAGAAATAGCCTGGCGCATCTGTGAAGTACAAAGCTGATGGCAAACCTGGGTCTAAACTCAAAAGAGGTATTAGGTCTTTTTGCTTCTCTCCCTGCCAGAGACCACTGTGAAATTTTAGGGCAAGAGGTCCTGGCATGTGGATTTAGCTCCCTATCCCAGGGAGCATTTCCATTTGGGAAAGGAGGAGAAACCTGAAAGAAGAACAGCTCTTCTCTATGAACAGCCCATCTTCAACGTTATCTAGGAGGCTCTGGACAACTGACAGTGTCCTGTGCCGTAAGGGAAAATGGAGGAGATGGAAATGCTATACATATTTCTTTTGAAAATGCTGAACCAACTGCAACTTTGTGCTGAGTGAAGACAAATGGAGCAATATTCCTTCTGGCTCTGCAGCTGCTTCCATTGCTTTTGACGCAGTGGCCAGCTGGTGTGGCTCTGCAAACAAGCTGGATCTGTTTCCATGCCTCAAAGCTGAGTATTTACTCCCTCCTGCCCCCCTATCCAGCACTCGTGGAGCCAGACATGGCCCAGGCCTTGGGTTGAAATGATTCCTGCCTAAGGAGGCCAGCAGTGACTCAGCAAGACGCTCACCTGCAGCAGGTCGCGGAATTTGTTGGAAACAGCAGCCATGTCAGAAAGGCAGCTGTCAATCTTGGCCTGTGCTTGCTCACCTCCAAAGCCTTGGCTAAGCAGTTTGCTGCAGTCGCTCTGCAGGGAAGAGATCCATGAGCAAGTTGAGAATTAGTAACTTGGGCAGTTTCTATCCCTTCATGTTGCTGAGCTCTGGTGCCCACCTGTTGCAGGCTAGGACAGGTGTCAAACTCACCCCTGTGAAAAGGCTGGGAGAGGACAGCAAGAAAGGACACCAAGGGCTATAGCCCAGCACCAGACGACCACAACCTCCCAGTGATACATGCGTTATTCCACTGGCTCACGAAATGTGCCAGGTTGGTCAGGTTGGAGGACTGGTATTTCCAGCTGATGCTATCCACTGGAAGATTGCTCTGCCAGCTCAAAATTGCTTTCCTAAAGCTGGAGGGCAAAGACCTCAGGAATTTGGGCATAGCAGAAGTCCAGATGCTTTAACTGACCCCACCAAGGGAGGATATTACAAATTTGATAAAAAAAGCAGTAAAGAATCCAGACCGCACCTCCAAAGTCTTCTTTAGGGTCATGATGTTTTCACTGCAGACTTCCACGTTGTTTAAGGTCACCTAGAAAAAAACCCCAACAAAACAAACAGAAGTAGAATTCATTGGAATTTCTAAGCCCCTCAGCCCCCAGTCCATATGTTTCCTCCATGCCCTGTTCACAGTACAGGCTGAAAGGCAAATATTCAAGGGACAGAGTGGCTAGTGTGTGATCAAAGCACTGCAGATTCCTGGAGCTGCATGAAATTGAGATACAGTAACTGAGCATGTGTGGTGAACCTGCAGCAAATACAAAGTTTGACACACTTTACTCCTCTTCCTCATCATTCTATTCACAATGTTGCAGCAAAGCCACACTTGTGGGTGGAAGACAGGATGTATCCCCAACGTTCAGGGAGAGTGTCATGAGGAACAGACTGTGAGTGGCTGGAAATGATGGTTTATACACTGTCCCCAGAGAAGCTGGGCAGGGAGGAAGACATTTGTACCTGGGCAGGAGAAATTGGCATCCCTCCTGGCAGATCTGCTGTTCACTGAACAGACTGTTCTCTGCCTGCTGAAGCTGAACTAAATGTCACTGTAAGGCTGGAGTTTGTGCAGACAGGGAAATGAGGCAAACTGACAGGTGACTGAGGAATTCCAGTGGGAGAACTGACATTTTAAGCAGTTCAAGAAGTACAGAAACCTGTAATGAAGAATTTAATGAAATGGGAAGAGTTCAATCCTTTCTGCTCTGTTTGTTGCCTTTTCTCCTTGTACAGTGAAAGCCATAAGGAACCTTTTCAGCACTTGGTGTTCACAGCAATTTGCAGAAAGGGATACAAGTCAGGGTGAGCCAAGCCCCTCCCCAGTGCTCTCAGATTCTCTGCCCACAGGTCTGCTCAAACAGCAGGGCTGGTCGAGAGAAGAGAGCAGATCCAGTTGCTCTTCCAGTGAAGTCTTTTCCACAATGCAAGATCTATACAGCATCCTATCATAGGGAAGGATCTGATACACTGCAGAAAGCTGGAGGAGCAGCCCTTCAAACACTCTCCAAGGGGTCTCTAATGCTCACTCCCGTGTTCTGGCCTACTCAAGCGCACAGAGTGTTGCAGTGCTGCTGTTAGGAGAAGGCAACAGGAGGATCTTGCAGGCCAGGCAGAGAAGACAACGCTGCTCTAATGGAAACTCTCTGATCTGATTGAGAATGAAGAAGCCTTGAGCCTGGGCCAGGAAACCTTTTCATCTAGAGGAAGGTATGAATAAGATGCTCTCCCAACACGACTTGTGTGCAGAGCCTGTGAGGAACAGGATTGCTGGACACCTCAAAAGAGCACAGACTTCCCCAGCCTGGAGGCAATCACCATTGCAGCAGCCCTAGAGGCTGTCACAGGACCATACTTGCACAGGCCTGGTGTGGAAGCCCGACAAACACAAGGTTAGGTAAAAGCATCTACCAGACATGCAAAGTCAGGCCACCTACCTACCACAGCTGAACAGGTTTTCAGGTTCTCTGAACATGTGATAGTCACACCAGTCCTGTTCCCAAGAGCTGCCATTGTCTTTCCGTTCACCCTAACTCATCCTACACCAGCCACCATACCCACCAGAAATGACTGTTTTGCCTCATCGGTGCTTTCAATGCCTTTGGTATCGAACTTGCCCTGCTGCAAGCTGCTGTGCATGATGTTCACGGCACTGGTCACCCCTCTCTGGAAATCCTGGAAGGTCGTGGCTGGAAAGCCCTGCTTCAGCTTGTTGTACAGAACCTCCCTATAAGGCAAGCAGAACATACCATGGCTTAGAGCAAACACTGTGCTCTGTGCCAGGGGACAGCACTTCGGCTGAGCTGTGACTTGAACAAGGTAAGTGGAACTTCCCAGGGACAGGAGAGAGCTGGCAAATATCTCCTGGCAGCATCTAAAGGACACAATGCTGAAAGAAAAACACAACCACCCAGTTTCTGATCTTTCCCCAAAATCCTGCTTGCAGCTGTCTGCTGTCTTCAGTCAGCTCCCCACTCCCACATTAGGATTAAAAACAAGAACCGGACAATCTCTGCAGGCTCACCCCAAGTTCAAGTTACTAAGTAAGCTCACAGGCAGCCCAGAGAACAATTAGGAGTGACCGTGTACCATCAAGCAGGGTAGTGCTCCAATGCTATGTGGTGACCCAGTCTCATTGGTGTTCTGAGCCATGAGGTTCCTCTTTCTGTTTCTGCTACAGGTGACCACGACTACTGTGAGAAAAACATGTGCAGCTCCAGCTTCCCATACCACACCCGATGACGCTGCCTATGAGCATCTTCCATGGAGATGACAACCAGAGGTTCAAAGGTGAAGAACATAGGTAAGACTATCTGACAGCAACAACTGTTTGCAGAACGTGAGGTGGAGGTAAGTTACAATGAACCTGGTGTGTTTTCATTACCTGAAGTCAGATTCCAGCTCAGTGGTGGAGTGGTTGATCATGGCACAGAGACAGTCTATGCTGGAGCTGGACAGAGCACGCCCAATGCACTTTTTCACTATATAAAACACGTCATCCACCATGCTGGAGGTGAGCTGGCCCTTCTCGTAGCTGTCCATGGCAACAGCCTGCAAAGAAAGCTGTCTCAGTGCCCTCAGCTCAGCTAGTGAAGGTATACTCTCAAAAGCAGTGCTGTGAGACCAAACCTCCAGCCTGCCCATTCCACCCTGAGCTGAACTGTAGCAAGAGTAGGCTTGCAAAACTCATCCTAGTTTTCAGTAGCCCATAGTGCTGGAAAATCTCTGTCTGGAAGATACTCAGGGGTATGTTTGGAGTCAAAGTTCAGAACAACCAATCGCTTTTGAAGGAAAACTTTCCCAACAACTGCAGACTTGTCATGTACTCACTTCCCTCCCTAGGGATGCTCAGCAGAGGACTGCGGAGCACATGCAGAAGTCTCAGATGCTGGCAGAGTGCAGCTATTGCAAGCAGCAGTCTGAGCCCTACCTTGTTGACTGTCTCCCTCATGAAGTATTCCTCCATGGTGATGTAGTAGCCAATGAGCTCTTGCATGGTGCGGCTCAACAGACAGTTGTTGAGGAGCTTGTCCAAGTACTTTTGATGCTCTATGGACATAAAAAAGAACCATCAGCAAGGACCAAGTGCCTGAAACCATTTCCACCTAATCCCATTGGCACCTAAAGGAAACACCTGCAAAGCCCAACCTGCAATAAATCATGGGCCTCAATTGTGGAGCTGAGATTGCTGAGCTGACTTTTGCAGATGACAAAACTGATTTCCAGAGCTCTGTGGAGTACCAAACCCTTGAGCCTGTTTTCAGTATGGCCTCTACTCTTAGGATCTGTGCCTGTAGTGATCAAAGGGCTCTCCCTCTCTTTGGGAATCTTGTTCACTATACTCTGCAGTTATTCCTAATGTTGGTTTCCCTGCTAGAAGGAACAACCAGTGCTTAAAAAGGGTTTGGGGAGGTCAGGCTACACAATCCCCTTCCAGAGAGTGCTCCTTTCTACCAGACATAAGTGGACAATCTTGTGATCACTATTAGAGGGGCCTTGCCTCCAGCCAGGTGGAGGAGAGGGACAATCGGGTTTATTGGACTGTGTGGATCAGATGGCCTGGCATTTCAGTCCCACAGAAGTATAAGGCTCTGGCAGATACCGGTGCACAGTGTACCCTGATGCCATCAATTTATCAAGGGGTGGAACCCATTCATATTTCTGGAGTGACAGGAGGATCCCAAGAGTTGACTGTACTGGAGGCTGAAATCAGCCTGACTGGGAAGAAGTGGCAAAAGCACCCCATTGACTGGTCCAGAGGCTCCATGCATCCTTGGCGTAGACTGTCTCAGGAGAGGGTACTTCAAAGACCCAAAAGGGTATTGATGGGCTTTTGATATCGCTGCCTTGGAGACAGAGGAAATTAAGCAGCTGTCTACCTTGCCCGGTCTCTCAGAGGATCCTTCTGCTGTGGAGTTGCTGAAAGTTGAAGAACAGCAAGTGCCA